GCTCACTCTTGAACTTAGAAATGCATTTTTTATTGCTGCTCGTAATCAACAAATCATCAACGTATAGATAAAGGATGATCATGCATTCACTTATATTCGTCTTCACATACACACCATATTCAGATACACACTTCTTGAAGCCAATCTACTTTAAGAAACCATATATCCTCTTGTTCCAAGCTCTCTGAGCTTATTTCAAACCATACAACGCTTTCTTCAACTTGTAGAATCGTGACTCTTGTTTTTCATAACAAAACCAGAGTTTGCTCTATATAAACCTTCTCTTCAAGCGGTTTGTTCAAAAAATGCATATTTGACATTCATTTGATATATGGACCCATTGTTGTTATTCATAATACTAACAACTAGCCTTATGGTTTGAATTCTAGCAACATATGTAAATAACTCTTCAAAATATATATCTTATCTTTGCAATAATCCCTTTGCAACTAATTGAGCCTTATGCATGATTATTTCACCCTTGAGATTTGCCTTCATCTTATTGATCCATCTTACATCAATCAATTTCTTTCCTTCTGGTAGATCAACTAACTCCCAAGTATTATTTTTCTCAATCGATTTGATATCATTCTTCCTAAGACAAATCTATTTTGGATCACTTAAGGCCTCTTCCGTCTTAACGAGTTCGAATTCGGCCATAAGTGCAAAATGGATGAAATCACCATCATCATTGACTTCTTTATCTCGAAACATTTCACAATCTTGGAGTCTTGGAGACAAAACTCTTTTCCTTGTTGATATTCTCACATTTTCTTCAATTCGTGCTTCAACGGGGACTGGTTCTGCACTCTCAAACTCTACAGAATCTGAATTTTCAATGTTGTAACCAGTTACAGCTTTTACGTAACTGATTACAGGCTTCTGCAACTCCTTGATTTCATCAACAATGACTTCTTAGTTGATCACAATCCTCCTATTTGATGCATCATACAACTTGTAACCACTGGTAGAGTGATACCCTACAAGTATAACCAGTTTTGCATTGTCATCTAACTTCTTTCTAAGCTACTGTGGTACATGTCGATACGCTACGAAATCGAAAACTCTCGAGTGGTTCAAATTTGGCTTAAATCTGGACCATGCCTCTTCTGGTGTTATCTTTTAAGCATCTTTGTTGGACACCTATTCAACAAATAGGCAGTTGTGGATATTATTTCCCCCCATAACTTTTTCGACAAGTTCTTCCCTTTTAATATGCTTCTCACCATGTTCATAATCAATTGATTTTTCCTTCCGGCAACACCGTTTTGCTGCAGTGTATAGGGTGATACTACCTCATGTATTATCCCCTCTTTATCACAAAACCTCCAAAGTCATTTGAGACATATTCACATCCACCATCCATTTTGAGAATTTTGAGCTTGTGACTGCTTTGTGTAACACCCTGATTTTTCATTTATTAGTTATTTATTTTATAAATTATTATATGATATAGTAATTAATTAGATTGTGTGATTTTGTGAATATATGGATTATTTGGAATAATATGTGTTATTTGTGTATTGGGTTAGTAAATGTGAGAATAAAATTATTAAGTAATTGGACCTTGGTGATGGGTTAGTGTGAGAATGAGACATTAAGCCCATTAGTGAAAATATAGTTAGTAAGAGTTTTGTAAAACAAAGAGAGAGAATTGTCAAAACAAGAGAAGAGAAGAAAGAGAAAAAGAGGAGAAAAGGAAGAAAAGAGAAAGGGAGAGAGAAGAACCCTAGTGGATCTACATCCAAGGTAAGGGTGAGTAATTTTCTTATTATTGGATTATATAAAAGTATGTAATGGGTAGTTCCATGATTTAGGGACTTTGTTCTTCAATTTCTAGATTTTAACATGTTAGGCTTTGAATGGGAAATCATGAAATTGATGTTTGAAATTATGTTTTGATGTTAGTAATGGATGCTACATGATAGATATATATATTATAATGCATTTATTTCATGAAACATGATTGTTTGGATGGATTTTTGGGGTTGAAATCGTGGGAACCCGGGGCTGCTTCGTAGCAGAGTTATTTTTTGGTTTTTCACGAGGCCGCTTAGCACGCTCCATCGCGCTTAGCGCAGTATGGAATAATTTTTTTATATATTTTCTTTAATTGATTTGGGGTCTTGTATGCTTATGATTTATAAGGGATTTCCATAAATTTTAATAATTTGTTCAATGTGTATTGAATAGGTTTTGTTAACTTTTTGATGAAAACATAATACTTGAATTTATGTATATGTATGTCGCGAATTGATGTTCGGTGTGAATAACATGTGTTGGCATTGTTTGCTATGTGTTATTATGATGTGATGAATGCTATGAGAATTTATTGTATGTGAATGATGATACGAAATATGGATGTTTGAGCAGTGGTGATATAATTCAAAATATGATGAATTATGTGATGTATACTTGTATGATTAAGATTGAAGGATGATCTTAACTGCATATGATTATTGAGATTGCACATGCATCATTTGTTGTCAAGAGGTAATGCTTGCTAGTTTTATGGAGACTAGTGACTTTTCCCAAACCTAGGGGATTGGTTTAAAAGCTTGAGGGATGAACTTTTTGGTGGTTATCTGTCTGAGGGATATACATTGTTTAAACGTAAAACTATTAAGGATAACAATTGGTACCACATGCATATTGCACCGAGTTGCATTTAAGTCACATGCGTCGATGTGAAATGTTGAATTGGCGTGCAATATATGATATTGGTGTGAATGTTACATTTATGGTATTTGTGATTGATTATCTTTGAATCAAGAATCGTTGAGCAATATTCTATATGTGAATATGTGAATTGTGTTAGAAAATGTTGAATATATGATTATGTGAAGTGTGATGAACTTAATTGTTGCTTGTATGTGATCACTGCTTATTATTATATATTTCTATAATGATGTGAATTTTCTGTTGGAATGATATTTTATACGACACCGCTCAGGTATCGAAGATAGTGGTGCTTCTGGAAAGAATTAGTTGGAGGATCTAGTTCTTGTTTTATTTGCTTATTAGGTAGTGAGTCATGCTCTGGTCTATGTAACACGGGAAACGTTTGAACTCATGTTGTTTTGAGAGATGTTTGTTATACTCTCTTTTATTTATGATGTATTGAGATTATGTGATGGTTGGCCTTTAGTGCCCAATGTTTTTTTTGCATGAAATTTTATTTTGAGATTCAATTATTAATATTGTTTTGAAAATAAAATTATTCAGCTGCGAGATGCATATGTGTATAAAACGATTTTAAATGTGTGTGTTATAAGCATGACTGGTGTATAATTGTTGGCTTTGAAGTACATGTGACACCCTCTTTTGATATGCATGCTAATTTACTCTGATGATGCCATATATTTGCGCGGGGATTTAGAGGATGTTACACTTTGCCGCTTAACCATGAACTTGAACTTCTTATACACTTCGAATATTTCATCCTTTCTCTTGATTAGGTACGTTCATATTTTTCTATTATAACCGGTGATGAATGTGACAAAATATCTAATGCCACAAGTTAAGTCAACTTGCATCGGTCCACACAAATTGAAATACGCTACCTCAAGATGATGCTTGGTTCTACAACCTGCATCCTTGCGGAATTTACTCTTGTGTTGCTTTACTTGCACACATTCTTCACAAACTTCAGCCGATATGATGACGAATGGCAACTCCATTACTATTCTGTTCTTTTGTAATGTATTGAAATCTCTAAAATTGAGATGTTAATGACGGTAGTGTCATATCCATTCTTCACGACTAGCGTTGTATCAAGACACATATGCTCCATCACCTTCAACTCAATCTTGAAGGATCTTTTGGGAGCCATAGGAGTTATAGGAGCTTTTAGGACCAAAATCCCGTTTGCATCTATAATGCGTAGCGCCTTGTTTTCCATGTGAATCTTGTAACCCTTTTTCAAGGAACTTACCAATACTTAGAAGGTTACATTTGGTTCATGAAATGTACAATACATCTTTGATCAAAGAATGTCCACCATCCCTTCTCATGATCAAAACATCTCTTATCTCATTGGCCGTTAGATTGGTGTGATATGCGAACTTCACTTTGTTCTTCATGGCACAATTGATTTTAACAAACCAATCCTTCCTCCTTGCCATATGCATAGAATACACGGAGTCAAAATACCATTCCTCGCTGCACTTAACTGTTTTTCTTACAGTTACCATTACGCTTTTTTAATAAACATATTCATTTTTTACAAAATCAAATTACATTACAAATAATAAAATAAAAATATTTCATAAAATTTCATACATACATTTCAAATATTTTAAATAATAAAGACAAATCAAAATATCAAAACATTAATCACATATTTAATATTCTAAATCATTAAAACTAAATAATAATATATACAATGAAATAAACAAGACAGGTTCAAAGTGGATTTTAGTGTCCTTAATATCTAAGTCATCTCCATATTTTTTAATCCGAGAAAACTCAAATTAAAACTCAACCAAAATGAATTTTTTTCATCAATTTTGAGACGGATTCGGGTGAATACCTATTAGTAAGAGTTATCTTGTCATGCCTAATTTAAGCCATATAGTTATGTTATAATGGGATGAGAAGTCATTCATATTTTGCTGAGAGGCGTTACCGCGCATTTGGCAATGGAAAGTCGCATAGATGCTGTTTAGTGTTTAGTGTTTACTTGACTTGACCCGTTGGAAACCAAACGAAAATTGTCGGAAATTGCAAACGACATTCACACACTAGTAGTAATAGCATACCACCCTTTCATTATCTTACCCACCAATAAATATAATAAATAGTAATACTGTATCAGTATACTCTCTCGATTCCTTATCCAATAAGCAATAAATAACCAACTTTATGTAAGAAAAACTTTACAACTTCTCTTTTCAAGAAAATAATTATAAATATGCAATTCATTTGTTTCAAGTAAACCCACACTTGCTTCTTTCTTCTCTTCGTCACATATTTTGTTTTTCACTTTCTTCTTCTTCATTATGGCTTTACCAAAACAACACATTGAACAAATAAGAAGAACTAAGTTCTCTATTGGCGGAGAACAAAATCCTCTCACCCAAGATCTTCACCATGCTGTCAAGAATCTCTCCGCTGAGCTTTATGCAAAAGATGTTCATTTTCTCATGGAATTGATTCAAGTACATTTACCATTTTCATCTTGTTTCACCTCTTTTGTTTGCTATATTCATGCACATTTAAGAATAATATCAACTTTTTCTTGCTTGTTTATTCATTCATTTTTTATACTGTCAAATAAAACTAAGTATGCATGTAAATGAGTGATTTTTTCTCTATTTATTTATATCACTACTAGTATTTATATATATATATATATATATATATATATATATATATATATATATATATATATATATATATATATATATATATATATATATATATATATATATATAATCAATCATGCAATAATGCATTAATATAGGTGTTTCTTATTTCTATTTTGAATAGAATGCTGAAGATAACCATTACAAGGAAGGAGTGAAACCAACATTGGAGTTTGTCATAACTTCAGATGACATTACAGCCACGGGTGCTCCAGCCACGTTGCTTATTTTCAACAATGAAATTGGTTTTTCTCCGAAAAACATTGAGTCCATTTGCAGTGTTGGACGATCAACTAAGAAAGGCGATAGGAGCAGTGGTTACATTGGAGAGAAAGGTATATATGTCACATTCTTATATTGAGTTGTTTCTCATAGTGTTATGTACTTCTGACTCAAGAACCACCTGTGCTAATATGCTAATAGTGTTATTTGAATGAATTCAATGTCATTTTATTGTTAAAATTTAAACATGTTTGTTATTTGTCACTTAAGGAATACTATATAAATTTATGTTTGACTATAGACATCTTCTAGAAGATAATGCAAATTTTTTGACATAGTCTCTCATATGGACTGAATTTCAGGAATCGGTTTCAAGAGTGTGTTTCTGGTTACTGCACTACCATATATTTTTAGCAATGAATATCAGATAAGGTTCAATGAAAAGCCATGTCCACATTGTAGTCTTGGTTATATAGTTCCTGAATGGGTTGAGGAGAAGCCAACCCTTTCAGACATAAAGAAGATATATGGTAAAGATTCTCTTCCAACTACAACTATTGTCTTACCTCTGAAGCCGGATAAGGTTGATCCTGTTAAACAGCAGCTGTCCAAAGTTCATCCCGAAGTTCTTTTGTTTCTGAAAAAAATCAGACGCCTTTCTGTCAGAGAAGTTAACAAGAATCCCACACATAACACTATAACTTCGGTATCAATTAAAACTGGGATTGACTTTCTGACTAGAAAAAACATGAATGCCGAGTCCTACACACTCCATCTCTCTGCAGGAGAAAATGGTAATAATGAGAAGGAATGCTCCTACTACATGTGGACCCAAAAGTTTCCTGTCAAGTCAGAAAATGTGGTTGAAAGGAGAGAAGATTTGGAAGAATGGGTTGTTACATTAGCCTTTCCAATTAATGAGAGGCTTCGTACAAGCAAAAGCTCGCCAGGGGTATATGCATTTCTCCCTACAGAGATGGTCACCAATTTTCCCTTTATAATTCATGCTGATTTTGTTCTGGCCTCGTCAAGGGAGACAATTCTATTGGATAATAAATGGAACAAAGGGATTCTTGAATGTGTTCCATCTGCCTTTATGGACGCATTCAAAACCCTTGTCATAGGATCGGATAAAGCTCCAGTTTCTAGTCTGGCTCGTACATTCAAGTTCCTGCCCATTCAAACTTCTCCATTTGATAAGTTTAACTATGTGAGGGACAAAATTAAAGAAAAATTGGTGGAAGAAAGTATTGTGCCTATAGAGACATACACTGAGCAGAAGCACTTCTTTAAGCCTGGTGAAGTTAGCAGGCTGCGGCCTGAATTCTGGGATATCTTGAATAAAGCCAGGGACGAAGGAGTGCATCTGCTTAACCTCTCTTCTCATGATGAGAGGAAGATCTTGAGTTCTTCATTTGACACAAGCGAGTATGATCAAGTACTCAACTTTTTAGGGGTGAAACCAGTTAATGTTGATTGGTATGCAAAGTGCATTCAGAGTTCTAATCTTGTGGATGGAGTATCAGAAGATCTATATCTTCAACTTTTACTATTTGTTGCTAAAAATTGGTCTTCAAAATTTAAGGGCACACACATGGATAGTATTCCTTTGATTAAGTATGTGTCCTTGAATGGAACTTTATCCTCTTTCAATATTCATGAATGCAGACAGTCCTATGCAGTTGCCAAGCGAGTAGTAATAACAGACTCAAGTCAATTTAATGCTTGCTCTTGGCTGATCAATTGGAACAAGGAGTTCTCATCTGTAGCAAACCGTTTCTTTATGCCAGAAAGCACACAAAAAGCTATGTTATGTTTGTCCCAGAAACAGACTTTGATGGAATGGCTTGTGAATGAAGTAAATGTTACCAATTTGAGCGTTTACACTTTTGCAAATGTCATCTGCAGTTCTGTTAAAAATAGCAGAAAACATGCCATTGCATATGCTCATTTTTTGTATCACTCATTGTCAAAGGCGTATTTGTCAAAGCGGGAGGTTGATACTCTATGTAATTCTTTGCCACTAGTTGATAATTATGGGGCTGTCACCGATAAAGGAAAAGGGGTTCTTGTGCCAGCAAATGTGAGCAAATGGGCAGACTTGATTGTTTCAAATCCTTGGAGGAATGAAAATTATGTTGAGCTTGGAAAAGATTACCTGAATTCATCTACTTATGCAGGCCAATACACAGATTCTGGGAAGCTTATTAATTTCCTCAAAACTCATGTTGGAGCTTCTGACATACCTCATATATCTCCTCCTAATGCTGAATTTTCACCTGTTAATACACCACTTACCAAAGAGAATGCATTTTTGATGCTGGAATGGATTCGGAAACTGAAGTGCAAGGGAGTGCAACTACCAGAGAGGTTTTTGAACTGTATAAAAAATGGTAGCTGGCTTAAAGTTACCGTCAATGGTTACAGGCCTCCTTCAAAGTCATTTTTGATTCGTTCACCATTGGGGGTAATTCTGCAAAAAGGTTCTGTTCTCGTTGATATTCCCCTGATTGATGAGAGCTTCTATGGGAATAAAATAAATTCATATGAAGAGGAGTTGAAAACGATCGGAGTGATGTCCAGTTGTGAAGAGGCATGCAATTTCATCGGAAGAGAACTAATGTCTCGCGCAAATTCCTCCACGCTAACTAAGAATCATGTACTTTTGATGCTTAACTTCATCCGATACCTGAGGAATAGTCTTCTTCCTTTGGATAAATTTGTGAAAAGAATCAAAGATGGGCCATGGCTAAAGACATCTCATGGTTTAATGTCTCCTGTGGGATCTGTATTGAAGGATTCCGAATGGCAAGTAGCAGCACAAATCAGTAGTCTCCCTTTTATCGACCAATCTTATTATGGTGATGAGATATGTAGTTACAAAGAGGAGCTCAAGTTGCTTGGTGTGGTAATTGGCTTGAGTGGTAACTATGAAACTATCATCAAGCATTTAAAATCACCGTCAAATTTGACATCTTTGACAGCTGAGGCTCTTCTTTTGACTATGCATTGCATGAGAATTTTGAATGACACTGGTAAACTCTCTACTTCTCTCAAGGGAACGACCTGCCTGAAAACCAACATGGGTTTCAAAAAGCCTAGTGAATGTTTCTTGTATGACCCGGTATGGGGCTGCATTTTGGATGTATTTAGTGGCCTTCCTGTGATTGATCATAAATTCTATGGAGAGAAGAGTTTTCCTTACACAGCTGAGCTGAGGAAAATCGGCGTGGTGGTTGATTTTGAAGATGTTGTAAAAGAAATTGCTTTGCTCTTCAAACAGAAGGCATCAAAAACTTCATTTAGCAAAGAAAATGTCATGTCATTTCTTTCTTGTTGCAGGCAGCTAAAGGGAACTGGTTATAATTTTTCTTCTGATTTCTCAACCGTTATACATAATCAGAAGTGGTTGTATACTAAGGTAGGTTGTTATATGTGCCCAAGAGAATGCATATTATATGATCCAGAGTGGAAATCTATATCTTCGATTACTTGTCTCCCTTTCATTGATGACAGTGACAAGTTTTATGGTACTGCAATACATGAATACAAGAAAGAGCTAAAGAACATTGGTGTTGTAACTGAATTTAAACATGTAGTGAGGTTTGTGCCAAGGTGTCTGAATTTTCCATCTAATCCAATCATCATTGCTCCTGAAAGTGTGTTTTCTTTGCTGGAATGCATCCGAAGCCTATTGAGTGAGCATAAGCTTTCTATTGATGATGAGTTTAAAAAGAGATTGTCCAGAAACTGGCTGAAGACACATGCTGGTTATAGGCCTCCAGAGACGTGTTTGTTATTTGATTCCAAATGGAGTTCTTTCTTTTATCCTACTGATGGGCCTTTTATTGATGCGAATTTTTATGGACCTAATATTGCATCTTTCCAGAAAGAACTTAATGCAGTAGGAGTCATTGTTGACCTTGAGAAAGGGTGTGCCTTGCTTGCCAGTCATCTTGTGTCTCTCTCAAACACTGACAATATATTGAAGATATATAGGTATTTCCTTTAGCCTACTACTTGTTATGTTTATCTATTTGTTTCGTTTTTGTCAGTCTCCATAACATTCTTTATAACGTAGGTACTTGGCGGAATACAACTGGAAACCAGAGAAGAAAGATGACAAGAAAATTTGGATTTCAGATGGAACTGAAGGTGGGAAGTGGGTCAATTCTGAAGAATGCATCATACATGACCCGGATAAGCTTTTTAATTTAAAGTATTATGTTCTTGAAGATATCTACGATAAGAAAATTCTCCCCTTCTTAATCTTTTCCATGGAAGTCAGGACTAAGCCCTCACTTGATGATTATGTTGATCTTTGGAGTGATTGGGAGAGATTGTCAAAGGAATTGTCGCATGACAAGTGCTGTAAATTCTGGATGTTTGTCATGAAACACTTGGGCAAAAACACTGGGAAGGAACTTTCTGAGAGGCTGATCAAATTACCTGTAACCACAGGCAGCAAAGAAATATTTCTGTTGGATAAGGAAGATGTATTTATTCCTGATAATCTTCATCTGAAAAGGCTTTTTGAGCAGGAGAGAATTTTTGTGTGGTATCCTCAGCAGAATTTTGGACCATCCTCCATTGCTAAGTTGAATGACATCTACCGAAAGATAGGTGCTCGGAATATCTCTGAATCGCTGTGCAAAGAAGAATCGTCATTTGTTAATGATGATGGTGACGAAATGGTGCAAGTTGATCCTGGTAGCATTTTCAACTTAAAAGGTTTGGTTAAGCTCATTCTTGGTTTCCTTGCTTGTTCAAGCCTGAAAATGGAACCTGAGAAGAGGCATGAAGCTCTTCAAAGTCTTCTTGACCTAAGTTTCTTCAAGACAATGGTGCCGGTCACAGTTAGCTATAGTTTATCACTGTCATCAGGGGACATTGTTACGAAGAAAGATGACAAAATGGTTCGCTGGGATAGGCAAAGTTCCAAAATTTTCATCCCTAAGATGGATGAGCCTCAGGAAAATGCACTGAAGTATGCAACATATTTCTGTGAGACAATTTCAGAAGGTGTTTTGCCTGAGAATCACGATTTCATTCCTGCTCTATCTGAGTTGATCACACTGGGTTTTGTACTGAAATTCAAGAATGAAGATATTGATTTTCTGATGGAGTCCAAGAACTTGCAGATTTTCAGTGAGGATGAGAAGTTCCTCAGCTCTGCCTTCCCATCTGACTAAGTATTATGCACTGGTTTTACTTGTTTGTGTGTCTCTTTGCAGAATAAGTTTTATTTTATGTTTTCTTGTTCTCTTTTCAGTGTGTCGTGACTATGTTCAGACCACTTTTCTATATTGTATGGTTGAATTACCTATTAAGTACCTTTCATGTTTCAACAATAGTTTGTTTCTTTTATTTCTATTCGATGGCCTCTATTAAGGAAATTTCTCGGCTAAATCAAATAAAGAACCTAAAAGGATTGTGATGTTTATAAGAAATTTATATATTAATTTGGATTTTATATATTTTTATATGGCTCTTTTTGATAAGCTGTAGTGCTAAACCAAGGTGTTGCTAACAAAGGTCCATAGCATGTTACCACTTATCTAGGGGCTCGAGATTTATATATCCTATGAAACACTGACAGGTTGATGTCGGAGGTGTCATTCAAGTAGAGCAAGAATGTGTCAGAAACATATGGCAGAATGCATATTTGATTTAGTCATTTTCTTGCGTTGCAATTTATCTGCAATGTACAATCAACCTAAGAAATAATATAGTCTGAACAAAAGGGTAAGAATTACATTATTTCTGCAAGAGAGTCTATATTTGCTGTCAATTTGAAGAACAGTGAACTTTGATGTCTATGATTTTTCAGATGAGACATATTGCCTCAGCAAAATAAGTTAAAAACATTTTCTGTCATCTGATGCAGAATCATTACCTAAATAAAGTTCTAAAAGCTTTAAAATCATTTGAACGTATACTTGACATGTTTCCAGCAGCTTGAGGAGCCTTCTACCTGCTGAGAGCATTGAGCTGGACAGAGAGCCACATCCAACCAATAGAAATATCCAATGGTAACACCAGAATAGGTCTACATACTCATTATGATATCAAAAATGACTCACCCAAATGGCATCTATAGCATTTCAGAATGGTGGAAATTGTTGCATCACTTTTTTAATTAAAATTATAAAATAGCATAGCTTGCCCAAAGGAAGAATTGATAATGGTGAAAAATTCTACATGAATAGTTGTAATACTCTAATACTTCATTCAAACATGTTTCGTGGTAGTACTTACGAGTATTATTCAAGGCAAAGTAAGGAGAGAGATACTCATTTAAATTCGATGTAGGTAACTTGTTAATCAGATGGACCGCTATTGTGAAGTTGTGATCCCAAAACTTGATTGACATAGAAGCATGAGCAAGTAATGTTAGGCCCATTTCTACGTCCGTGACAGAAGTCAAGAACATCCTCACCTCCAGGATAACTTCGACGTTCGTGACGGACATACTGCGTCTCCAGATTCCATCGATGCTGATTGCGACAACAATCTATTCTTGGACGAACAATTTCCCAAGAACCCTATCGAAGACCAGCCAGAGATTCTGCAACCGGTTCCCGTTCCACGGAACGTCGACCCAACCATAGCAGCACTGATCGCTGCCCTTAACCGAACCAACTCACTCATCCTTCAGCAGAGCAAAAGGATTGGGGCTCTGGAGTGGAAACAATCAAGGTCTCCTCCCCGGAGACACCGACGACATAACTCCTCCAGCATATCACCTCCCCGAAAGTGGCGTACCCTAAGAAAAGAAAGGCTCGACGTTTCCTTTTGCAAGAAGTGTCATCGAGAATTTCCCAAGAAGGATAAAGACTCTCCGCTTTCCAAGAATACAAAGAGAACCTGCGAAGACGATCGCAATAGGTCACTATCACCCAGACTGAGGCGACGAGGACGGAGCCCCTCCCCTCGACAAGATCACGACGCCTGGCGAGTAAGGAATCATCACTCCTCGTCATCATCACCAGAAGAGACCGATGACGACGGGCTCTGTGGCCTGTTATCAAGAGAAATTATGGAGGCACGATTTCCGATTGGGCTCGAGAAGCCGCCCCCATTAGGATCCTACGACGGTACGACCGATTCTGACGACCACATGGAAGACATTGATGCTCTACTTGACTACCGAGGCGTGAAGGACGTAACCTGTGATACGGTGGGAGAACTGACTGTTTTTGGAATGTTGGTTCGCGTTTTGCGTTTTGTGTTCGCAAAATATCGCGATAAGCAAGAGTCGCCACCGACTTTTATTTTATCCAACAAGGAAAGGAAAAAAGCACAGAAAAATTCCTTTTTCGAGATATTTATGAGTACGGGGGTAGATTATAGAAAGGGAAGATATTAGCACCCTTTCTATCCGTAGTTATCTACGAGCTCTTAGGTACTTGCTCATCATTTTTAAAATTGTTTTCTTTGTGTTTGTTGGTTTTGAAAAGTTTTTGTTTTAACTTCGATTTAACTCTTGCTCCTGTCTTCAAGAGTGTAATGAAGTGTTTTTGAAAACTTGTTTGTAAAAGAGTGTAAGTGTGAAAAATTTGTTTTGTTTTGGATGAGCAAGTATCTAAGAGTTAATCTACCTACTCGAAAAGGGAATCGTTCTATGCTAATTTCCTTTAGACAATGCTATCCCACTATTAGTGAGTAGGTAGCACCGTCGTTGGAGTTTAAAGAGTTAATTCGAAAGAGGGACATACGATCACTAAAGCAATGTTAGGACGTCTTAGCGATAACCCTAATGTCTTAGATCATTTATCTGAGGCGACAATATCCGAGGCAACCATTTTGAGGCAACTGTGATCTTTTAGACAAGAGGGCGACCTCTAAAACGACCTATACTCAATGACCGTTTACGAAGGCAACCAAATGGGGTGTACCCTAGGAGTGCGCATGTGAGAGTGTATTGATTTCAGTTATTTTTATCTTTGCACATGTTTAGGGTGATCTAACTGATTTTAGATTAAACATTCATTCTTGTCATGCAAACCCTATTATCAAACATCTAACAGTTGTATATTTAAAGGTACGGAATTTAAACTAAATTATTACAAGGCGTCGGGTATTTACATCGCCAAAAGCAACCCTTTGGAATTTAAAAGCGGTAAAAATAAATAAATGTCCTAATTAAAATATTACAAACCGGGAGCAGATACAATAATTGAATAAAGAAAAATAAAGCGTGCGGTGCGAAATTAAATCGAATGCGAAATTAGGGTTTTGACCCGCTTAAAAGAAAATGTTTTTATTGTTTTTTTATTTATTTTTTAAGAAAAGAAATTAAGTCCTAAAAATTAAATGCTAAATTAATTAATGAAAAATATTAAATGACGTATTTTTGGAGTTTTTTTGTTATTTTAGGAAAGAAAAAATAATTAAATTAATGTTGAAACCTAATTATTCTAATTGATTTTTTATTATTTGCAAAATAAATTAAAATTATCTAATTAACCAACCTAATTAAATTAATTGATTTATTGATGAAAAATAAATTTATGAAATTTAATTGGGTAAAAAATATTTTTTGGTGATTTTTGATTAAAAAAAATTAATTTTGGTTAGTAAATTAAATTAAAATAATTAAATAAAATAAACAAAATATAAAAAAGGAATGAGATGGGCCTGATTTTTGAGGGTGTGCATAGCAATTATTTTGACCCATTTGTGAGGTCCATTTGACTTTTTTCAATCCAGCGTGCGTGCATTGACTGACCCTTTGATGCACCTTTAATGACATGCCACGCTTGCCACTAGATCACGTGTTGTTGTTTATTATAATATTAAAAGGAAATAATAAAATACAAAAACAAGCATTAGTAGATAAAAACCAGAAAAGCGCGCCAAGGTTTGAATGGACGAATGGAGGAGTGACACACCTGCTTCTTCTTCCTCTCTCCGTGGCTAAAACCAAAAGCACCTATACCCACAGACAAATGTCCGTCACTATAACCCTGTCCACTCTCAAAATCTCGTACAGGCCATGTAAATGAATTCTAACATCATGGTTAGACTCGTCTCCTTCTTCTGATCACAACCATACCCATTACTAGGGCCAATTATTCCTGAAAACAAAAACCCTAAAAAACTCCAAGAAAACCTAACAATGGTGATTCACGATATGGGTCATATAAATGAAATTGACTATTGTAAAAAGCTTGCAAATAATATGGTGATTAAGAATATGCCATTATTTTACACAATGGATGCAAGAATAAAGCTTTTCGAATTCAAGAAAAGGATGATATCGTGACGGCCTTATAGTGCACTGGAGGGCTTGAAAACGTGTGGTTTTGCTTGCTTTAGGTTCCTGACATTTCCAGGAAGAGATTGAGACAAGTACCAAGCCTTGAGGATGCCTCTAACCTCTGTTTCGATCTCACACTTTTTGCCTCTTTTTTGCAAATTTTGTTCTTGCTCTATGCTTGATCTCCAACCTTGATTTTGATTTGCCTCGCCTCCTTATGTATTGCACAATGCATTAGGATTGTTTATTCAGTCCAAATCTCTCCCCATCAATGATTTTGATATGGATTTGATTTGCTTTGAACAACTTTCCAAACATGGCTTATTTCAAATCTTTTTGTACCCACAAGCTTTGATGCGAATTTGAATGCCTTGCTAGCTGTTTATTAGAGCCTGAAACAATCACAAGATTCTTTGTTATCAGTATTTTGGATTTTATTTGATTTTATTTGATTTAAATTCAATTAATTCAAATAAAAAATCAAAATAAAAAATAAAAATAAGATATGGACAGGTGGAAAAAGCTAGAGCACGTGGGATATGATGCCAACTCAAAACAAGTGAAAAATAATGGGCCCATTTGGCAAAATTTGAAGTTTTGGGCATAGTTGACTTTTGGCAAATTTGCAAAAAACTCAAACTTCAACAATGCATAACTTCTTCATATTTGACTCTTTAGAGGTGTTCTTGGACTTTTTAGAAATCTTGTGATGTCCTATAAGCAAACCTTTTTGTATCATCTCAATTTGATATTCCATGCTCAAGTATGAAGCTTTGACAAAAAAGGTGTTTTTGTTGACTTTTCAAAATGACCTATAATATCCAAATTCATAACTTCTTGTGAGTGCATATTTTGAACTTGGGAGATGAATATGGATTGTATGTAATTTCATCCTCTTCAAAATGAGCTTTGGATGGGTCATTTCTCATA